TGGGGGGGGGGGGTTTCCCGCTTTTATTGGTATTTTGCCCCCCTTGCCACTGACTGGGGGGTGGGGGGGGGAGACCCCCCCCCCCCCCCCCCTTTGTGTTTCCCCCCCCCCCCCACTCATGACAGCCAATGGCAGGAGCCAAGAAATGGGAGGAACTACTTTTTGAAAAAGAATAAAATATAAACAGAGGCAGTGATGGCAAAATAAAGCCTAAATTATTCAAAGCGCTCGACAACACACCCAGGAGGGATTAAATATTCAGGGTTGCGAGCCTCCAGCCCCCCCCATCTCGAGTGAGGCGAGCTCCGTGTTGTTCTGGGAACGTAAATCACTCTGAAGGCGAGTCAGAGGCGGCGTCCCGGGAGACCCGCATCCCGCTGGCACTCGGCACTCTCGCAGCCGGGCGCATTAGTGCCGGGAAGCCCAGGGGGGCAGATAATACCCAGAATGCATCTCAGACCCATCTCGGTCGGCGACGGGCCAAGCCAATCTCAAAAACAGAAACGGGCGGGTGGTTTGGAGCCGAAATATGGACGTGATGGTGGGGGCTCCTCCAGCACGGACGCAGGTCCTGAGTGGCGGTAAGGGGCGGGGCCCAAATATCTGGAGAACCGCTGATGACACGGGCTGGTCAGGACCGCGCCCACCCGCCTTTGGTCATGCGACTGGAGGTGAAAGGGCAGCAGAGTTCAGGGAACCATGGGGCACCTCCCACGCGGACACGTCACAGACTGTCACACACAGGCGCGACGACCCCCCCCAAAAGAGTGTAGCATGTTTACATGTGAAATGATCACCTTCAGAAAGAAGCCCAACGCTGAGACAAGTCAGTATAAAGGCAGACAGGGGTACGTAGGAGGGGGGGAGGGGGGCTGGGGGATGGGATCCAGGGGGGGGGGTCACAGTGGGGTAACAACGAGAGGATGACTTGGTCAAGAGTATCAAGTGTTCAATACGCATCCAGTTACAGGAGTAATTACTGGGGGGGCACATTCCCCCATTTCACATTTTAAACCAATTATATTTTAAACAAAAGGATTAAAATTGATACCCCCTAGTATAAGGCAATGTGCCATTCAGCTGATACTCCCCAGAAGAGCTGATAGCTGCGGGCCGGGGGGCCGGGGGGCCAGTGCAGGGGGGGTCACACCTCTAAGACACGGCAGATTCTCATCAGGCCACTTTAAGGACACTTGCTTTTGGGGGGCGGCTCCTTATCACCCGCACATACAGCGAGGGCAGGAAAATACTCCCCAGGTCCAAGAAAAACCCCAGCAGGGGTTCGGAAGCACGGCGTTGCCATCTTTAACCTATGCTACAGTCACAGGAAGGCGGGAGCAAGAGTCAGCTGGACTAAACATGTAAATGAGTCACACGGCACCCGGCTATACACACACGGACACACACGGACACGCGGACACACACGGACATGCGGACACACACGGACGGACGCACGGACACGTGGACACACAAACACACACACACAAGCACACGTGCACGCACACACACACATGCAGACACACGCACACACGTGCACTGAGCACACGTGCACGCATGCATATGCACTCACACGTATGCACACAAATGGTGTCTCACTGCACCAGCCCATCCCCATCAGCGCGGGACAAGATCACCCCTACAGGTGCCCCCCCCCCCAGACCCAGCTTGAAACACTCTCCTAACTCAATTACCTCGTTAAGGCCAATGACCGCACAGGCCGCTGATGGTGAGAGCCAAAACATCGCTGGCAGGACACCCAGGGAAGACGTGCCCCCCCAGGGTGACCCCGCTGCCAGCACACAGAGGCAGTGCCGCCACCCCCCCAAAAATAATAATTAAAGAGAAAATTAGAGCCCAAATACATTTTCCCCTGACAGTGTTGAGTTCCATACAAAGGACCCATTCAGAGAGGCCGCCTTTCGCACCCGAGGTTTCAGGAGGGGCGGGGGGGCGTCACTCTGATTGACTGTGTATTTTCCAGGCAAAGTGCTGCCCCAAAACAAACACCCAAAGCTGTCAGGGAACCACCCCCCCCCCCCCCCCCCCCCCCCACAGACCCCTGGTAACGAGCCCCACATGGGGGAGGGGGAGACACGAGGAGCGCACACCCCGGCTGTGACACCCTGCTCACACTCCTTCAACAGGGGGCGCAGAGAGGCACCCGCTAAGGGAGGAGCCAAGTGAGACTGTGTGGTCTTCAGTTCACTTTCCACCCCCCCCACCGCCCTGCAGATGGGGTGAAGCGTTTCGGAAGCTGTCCTTGGCTTCATACAGAGTGATGATGGGCCTGGCGTGCTTCACCTGTGACACTGTGGGCGGGGCTGTCTCTCCAGGGGGCTCTGGAGGGGGGCCACGCCCCGGCACACGGCTCCTCTGTTAGCGTCCCTGTCACCGCGCCACCCCCACGAGACAAGAGCTGGCACTGCATCAGAAGGAGACCCCCCTACTGTGAAAACCAGCAGCAGACCAAAGTCTTGAGATCAGTTACACAAAGATACCCCCCTATCCCCCCGCCCCCTCCAGCCCCTTTCATCTCAAGATCTCCGAGAGGTGCCTGAACACATCCCGCGTGTCAGGACGAGGTTACCACGGAAACCAGCCGGGCGGCGCGTGTGACTGCGCGTGTGCATGCAAGTACACGTACGTATAATTAGACAGGAAAAATGACATCCTTCAGAGAGCCGCCCCCCCCACCCCCAACACACAGGATCTGCAATGAAGGCAGAGGCAGTTTGTAATTAAACTGCCCCCACCGCTTTGTTAAATATCAGTGCTCCACGTAATCGCTCTAGAGGGAACCCCCAACGCCCACGGCCACACCCCCAGCTACGTCTCAGGGCCTGTACCTCCAACCACCATCATAAACAGCAATCCGCTCATTTGGTTCATTAAACATCACATCATACTTATTTAGCAGATCCTTTTACCCAAAGCGCCCTATGAGGAAGCAGGTCAGCCAGTTCTGGGGGCAACTGGGGGCCCCACAGTGACATTACTGGCCAACCCTGGGATTCAAGCCAGAGACTTTCCGGTCACAGGCTCAAGATCCTAACCCTCCAAGCAACACACTGCCCCCACTGGGCCATACTCACCGCAGACAGACCAATAAGGAGGATGGCATGAGCCATACTGGGGCAACTGGGGGTCAGGAACCACAGTCGAGTTCGAGTCCCAGCAGAGTTAATCATTAACCTACAGGAGGCATCTAAAGGCAAACTGCTCTAGCAAAGCGCTCAGATTAGCGACCCCGGCCACATTAACAGGCAGGGTGCTCTCAGATAGACGGGACCCCCACAGAAAGACAGAGCGCCCGCAGACAGACGGGGCACTCTCTCAGAGAAGGGACCCCCACAGAAAGACAGGGTACCTGCAGAGAGATGGAGCATCTACAGAGAGTTGGGGCACCAGAAGACAGACAGGGCATTCTCTGAGAGACGGGACTCTCTCAGATAGGCGGGGCACCAGCAGAGAGACGGGGCACTGTCTGACAGGCAGGAGGCCCACAGACAGACACAGTGCTCTCAGACAGGTGAGACGCCCGCAGACTGACGCAGTGCTCTCAGACAGGTGAGACGCCCGCAGACAGATGCAGTGCTCTCAGACAGGTGAGACGCCCGCAGACAGACACAGTGCTCTCAGACAGGTGAGGTGCCCGTTTCCTGGTGAAAACTCGCCAGACATATACCGTGACTGAACTCCCAGTGTGCCTGGACCCCGAGCGCCGAGGGACGGGATGGAAAGCCCACTCTGGGCACACACCCCTTCCCTCCTTCTCCAAACGCAGCACATGCTGCACTGTGTCATGGGTTCAGGCCAGAGGACCTTCAGGTATGTCTTCCAACTGCCCTCACAGTACATTATGGGAGCTGGACCAGCTAACGCTAAGCATCATGGAAGGCAAGGTACCACAGCCCAACAACAAAAGAATATTTCCTGTACTATTTATAAGTGTCTGTCCGCCACGTTGTCCCCGCTCTGTGATTTTACATGGCCTAACACTTTGTGGCTGAGTTGCTGTTGTTCCCAAATGCTTCCACTTTATTATAATACAACTAACAGTTGACCATGGAATATTTAGTAGTGAGGAAATTTCATGAATGGCCATATTGCACAGGTGGCATCCTATCACGCTGCCACGCTTGAATTCACTGAGCTCCTGAGAGTGACCCATTCTTTCATAAATGTTTGTAGAAGCAGTCTGCATGCCTAGGTGCTTGATTTTATACACCTGTGGCTATAGAAGAGATTGGAACACATGAATTCAATGATTTGGAGGGGTGTCCCGATACTTTTGGCAATATGGTGTATATATGCACGTGCACCAGCACACACACGCGCGCGCACACACACACACACACACACACACACACATGTGCATGCATGTGCACAGGAACACACACAAAGGTACACGCCTGCACAGGCATACACGCATAGCTAGACATGCACAGTCAGACGATAACAGACCTGGTTGATGGAATTGGCCGCACAGGATGCCAGTCCCGTGCCGAGCGACGCCAGAAGAAAGACACTGGGGTCAAAGGGCACCGGGGCCATTGCAAAGCCTGCTGCGGCAGTCGTGGCGACCAGGGCTGGAACCAAGGCGGGGGGCGGGGGGGTTAATCTGTTTCTCATAGAAGGCATATGTGCACATGAATTTTGTCTTATGATGTGCCCAGCCCCCAGACAGGCCCTTTGAAGCCCCCCAGCCCTGTCTCACCCGTGAGCTTGATCTTGGAGAGACGCGCATAGACACCAAGAAGCTCCCCTTTCTCCACCTTCAGCTCCCGCCACTGCCTCTCCGAACGAGCCTCTTGAGGGACCCCCGCTTGCATCTCCCTGGCCGGAGCCACACCCTCCTGTGGGGGAGTCTGCGATGGCGGCGGCAGCCTGAGGGCCGGCAGCTCCTGAACGTCCCTGATAACCGCATCGTCCCGCTCCTCCGGCAGGGCAGCCATGCGCTCCCGCTTGGGCTGTGCCTGCTGCCGAAATTCACCGCCGCCCTTCGTCACATACTGAAGACAATCGGAGGACCACAGTTACAACCAATGAGCACGCAGATTACTCTCAGCACCGCCAATCACCAGACAATGGGGCGGTGGCAAGAACAACAGCCAATAAGAATTCAGTTCCCCTGGCAAAGAGATCAGGACTCACAACTGCTTAGACAAAGTTTTTAAAAAGCTTTGCCTCTTAGAGACAGGATATTCATAGCATTACTTGGGTGCAAGGGGTCCATAACTCAACATATGAGTCGAAGGTTGAGAGTGAAGAGAGAAGCCAAACCTGTCGCTTTAGGAAGTTCAGGTGCTGGAAGGTAACGCATGCGGCAGGGCAGCTGTGAGCCAGCAGGGAGAGGTCGGGACCCCGCCGCTGCACCACGGCCACGCTTTCCGGAAGCTTCAGGATAAGGACAGCCCCCACCCGGCCTGGGGGGAGAGCGGACCACAGTGACTGGGACAGTTTGCGGGGCGAGACGAATGGAGAAGAGATTCCTGGGTAGACACCTGCTTCATTATCTATGAAGGACAGAGCTCATTTCACCCCTTAAGAAGAATATTTAGCAGCGTGACAAGTAGAATTCCTTGTCAATGTTTGATAAATACTGCGATATGTATAAAGCAGAAAATTAGCTGAAAATTTACCCAAAAGAAAATATATCCAAAATGGAACTTATCTACCAATATAGTTTGTCAAATTACTGCTGTTGCAGCGAGTTATACTAACAAACACAACGCAGTGTTAACTATCACTCGCTTATGCTCAATGCTGTCTCTATAGTCTCGACAATATTTCCATACATTTGAAGATGAAGGTCTTTCTATGACCGGTTCATATTCACTTCTCTTCACTAACTTTTGAGTTTGTTACACTGATTTTTGACGTATACGAAATAATGTCGAAAAGGAACAATCATTAAAATTGCAAAGCTTGCTAAGGTTTCGTATCACAGTAAAATAAATTTACTGAAGGTTATCGAAAGCTGATATTACGGAGATAAGGTACACTGCAGTGTTTCGGATCTTCATTTGCGGCCCAGCTGTACCACTGTCCTTGCTGTGTGACAACTGCATGTGCATAATATCACACAGGTCCATAAACTGAAATATTGAAGACCCAGTTCTAATGCACAGTTACGTCGCAGGATCTTTTTCCCCATGGTCTTCTGAACTCTGTACTCCACACAGATTTTAACTTTACATTAACTCCACCATCTACCGGCAGTTTGTCACTTTATTGATATTTGCACCGGTATTGTTATTGTTCATACCCATTATTTATCGATCTGATACTTGCTTATTATTCAGTTACTCATACTACTTAAGTGTAATTCTGCTGCTTCCGCCATTGCCTAGATTCTAGACATTCAAAAACTGTTTAAGACTTTTTTTGCACTGTATATCTCCGCACAGAGGTCATGCGCAATGTTCAAGGGCATAGGTTTTTGGTATGGACAATGGGGACCTCCTACTGATATTGTAGGAGGATCCTGTGAGTTTAATGGGGTGAAATCAAACCTACGCACTTGAGAACATTAAGTCAGGTCACCCTATGCGGTGTACTGTTTACGGTTGGCTTGGCAGTAAAGCACCACTTGATTTAACATCACTGTGCCCATCAAACCTGGACAGGGGTATAAGAGTTTCAAACGGATTTAGCATCAACATACACGCACAGCTAAAGCGATTCTGGAGCTTAGTCGATAAAACAAATACCCGGGTTTTCGTGATCAGATCACTGGCGGTTGTAAATACAGTGACGTCTTGGAGGCTGGGCGATCACTAGGCCATTAGCCAGTTCGCTTCAGTCACCAGACGCTAGCATACCTTTGGGTGGATACTGTGTCAGGGTTTCAGCTCTCAATGCGTTACTTATATTATACATTAACACGGGTGACACTACCGCGCAGGTTTAGGGAGATGCACCCCTGAGCTTACAGTACAATCCAGTTACCCTCCGGCTCGATTTCGGAGTCCTGCTCGCATAAAGAGTGCATGTCATTGGACTTAAATGAAAGGCTAAGGCGGTCTTCTAGTCGGGCAAACGGACTTTTATAACGAGGACCTGTGGGAATTCCACCGCAATGCAGCGGAAACGCCGATCCCAATAACATCTTTATTCTGCAGGACATGAATGAAACACGCCAAGGTTACCGAGAAAATAAAATCGTGGAAAAGCGGCGTAGCCCGACTACGACCAGGACCGCAGCGGGACACCACTTCAGAACCCCCCGGCGACAACGCCGTACCTGCAAGCCTGCTACATGGCGCTGTATACATGCTCTCGAGGCGGTAAAGCCGGCTCTGACACTGTCCTTCTCACATGCCGCCGGGCGCCATGTTACTCCGGCGCTACAGGAAGAACTTCCGGGTTAAAGCTGCCTGGTGTGCGCATGTGCGCTAGCTCCCCCCCCATTGGCGTCGAAATTGACTCTTGGGATGGGACCAAAGCTTTAAATGAATATGGTTATGACCAGTTTGTGCCATACAATATGCTTCAGTGCCAGAGCACATTGTATGTAGTATACGCGGCATATTAAATTAATGTGTTTTTATATTAAACTTTGCCGTAATATACAGCTGTATTAACAGAAATTTTAGTTATACATAGTTCCCTTTAAACATACACTTCCCGGCCAAAAAAGGTCACCATTTGAATTTATATCAGCAAATACATAAGAGCCAATGACTGGATTATTATTACAGCTCAGCAACGTTATCCATTAATAAAGTAAAGGCTGAGTACCAGAACCTTCTGAATGGCCAGGTTACACCTCCATCCAACATCAATTGATTTTTTCTTCCCTGTTGGCATGGGCATACTCCAGGACAAGTATGCCAAGATTCTTTGGGTTCGAATTGTCAAAGAGTGGTTCAGGGAGCATGAGGAATCATTTTCACGCGTGACTTGGTTACCACAGAGTTGTGACCTTAACCTCATTGAAGGGCTTTGGGATGTGATAAAGGAGGCTTTATGGAGTGGTTTAACTCACTTGTCAATACAGGATATCAGTGAGAAATTAATGCAAATCTGGATGAAAATAAAGCGTGAGATGTTGCATTAACTTGTGGAAACAATGCCATGACAAATGTGCGCCATAATCAAAGCTAAAGGTGGTCCAACGAAAATTTCAAATGAAATTTTTGGCCGGGCAGTGATTAACTAATGTTTTCTTATGAAATCAACATCTCAGGCAACCAAAAACAGGCAGGTCTGTTGTGTGTTAGGAAACCATGGCTAAAATATGTAAAATATCCTAATAAACATTGGCACAGCTGTGTGTTTTCAGTGGGCTGATTATTTTGGACTAGGCCAATGCAGTAATTTCGGCCTTGTTTCCACAGTCTTCAGAGTTTCTCAGTGCCCACAACTAATGGTGGTGAAAATAACCATGTTGTCCTAACATGGTAGAATCCCATGGCATGGTGCTTTGAGACCCCGTAATATGCAATTTGTAAAGCCAAGACACTCTATGCCAGAACACAGTCTGTGCTGTGTGTTACGGCCCATCGACCTGTTTTAAGTAATTTCGAACTGTGTTTTCAAATGATATTGTTAACTTCCCTAAACAGAATCTCCCTGTGTATTTTTAAAACCAACCCCAGTGGTTTCCACAGCAAATATTAGACATTATGTTTATCCACTTTTCCTGTCCTATTTTTATAAGACAGCTGGTGCCATAGCGGTTACAGAGTTACAGACATTGACTTGTGACCAAAAATTCCAGTGAAGGAATGCGTGATGTTGTATCACTGAGTACACACAACACGAATGTCTCCAACACTCTTTATGGCAATGCTATTTCATTAAAAAGCAATGTTATCAAAGCAAATGATCATTTTCTTGTCATCACTTCTGTTTATTTAATATATATAATTGAGTTTTTAAAACTCCTGTATTCCAATATCGCCTTGATTGCCAATGACCGACTTTTGGGTGACTTGTTACACTGTCAAGGGTGAGTAGGCTTGTCACCGGACCCCTCCCTGCCTGGGATGGACGTAATCCACCCCATCTTTAAGGCACATGGGCTGAGTTTCCCATGCACGCCTGGAATGACAGGGAAAATCCGGCTTTCCTTCATGTCGCGATCCGGCTGTTTCCCAGCTCTGCCGCTCCATGCGGCACACAGGCCTTTCCTGTCACTGCCGAATAAATCTGCAGCGCAGACCAGACCCGTTTAAATGCGAATTGCCTGCTAATTCGGCGCCTGGCCCGCTGCCGTCCTGCCCTCAGCTGGCCTCTGCACGGCCCTGCTCCCGCCTCTTATTTACGGCCGTCATCAGCCCCCTGCTGGATCCGAGCCCCCACTCCCCTCACGGCGCTCACTGCTGGGCATGGATTCAGCGTTACCAGGCAGGCTGATAAACATCCAGGTGATTCTGACCCCCCATCCAGGCCCCGAGTGTCCATTTGAAGGGAGAGGAGGTGCAGTCTCACAAGCACAGATCTGCCTGAGCAGAGATGACTGTTAGTTCTCTGTAAGCCATTTGCTCTCCTAACTGTGTCGCTGGGTAATGGTCCTCATCTTCGGTGCTTACTGATTTTTGTGGAGTTCTGTGCCCATGCAGCATTATCAGCCTCTCACTGCTGGGGAGGCTCTAGTAATCTCAGCTGGGCCCCTGTGCCTCACTGAACACCTCAAGTCAGACATATGCCGTTACCCCAGAAAGTTCTCGCTTTCCCACGTCTTCAGTGCCCCCCCCCCAAACCCCCCAGGTTGACCGCGTTGGGTCGCCTCATTCTGAAGTACGATGCAGTGTCGGTGACTGTCACACCCCCAGTGCGTGGCCCTTACAGCCGCTGGGGACCTCCCTGCAGGTCGTTGGTTTGTGAACGAGCTTTCATGCTGTGGTGGGGAAGGGGGGGGTGTAATGAAAGCCAGCATACTGCTCCCCCTCACCCCCCCGGTTACCGTGTCATGCTGTCCCCACTGCTGCCCAATCACCTTGCAGAATTTATTACCCATTGTGTAGGATGGTATTTTTACCTGGCGTTGCACAGACACTGACATGTCGGTAATTCTGGGAGAGCGAGCAGAAGCTGGTGGCTGGGGCGGCTCCGGGGGGCACTGTCAACACGGAGGCTTGTGGGGGCGTGGCTGCTGTCTCTGAGACCCAGAGTTTGCAGTGGTGCAGTGGCACTAGGCTAATTCAATCTGCTAACTGTGTTTCCCTTCCTCCCTGACATTGCACTGCACTTATATCTCGTCTTTTGGTGTTTTATTATCATTTCCTAAAATGTCAGAGTATATAAATGTAATGACTATGTACATTATATTAGATCTGCATGAGTTTCTGATTTTCTGTCCTGCCCACTTCCCCAGTGCTCTGTGTACTTGTGATTTACATTGTCATCCATAGTGATCTCATTTGCTTGTACTTCACCTATCATTTTGCACACCTGGATTTATAACGAAGGCTTGTGTGGCTCAGCGGGTTTAACTGCTGAGCCTGTGATGGGAAGGCTGCTGGTTCAAATCCCAGGGTCAGCAGACTGACGTCACCGTTGGGCCGCTGATCAAGGCCTTTGCCCATCCCTCCCACAGGACATGGTGGGAGGGATGATGCAGAGTGCAGCTCACCAACAAGGCACTTTAAAGATGCAGAAAAGCAGAACCAAAAGCAACTGTGAGGTGTGGAAAAAGGCAGGATGGTTAGATGATGATAAAACTGAAACTAGAGGAGGAAAGCAGAGGGAAGACAAACTGGCATCTGGAACCCAGGCTGAGTGGCGGTGGGTCGCGTTGCTGATGCCCATGGTGTGGCCCGCAAGCTGCTGCCATTCCAGTGATCCCAGCACCGCCATGACACAGGCCGTATGTCATCCACCATTAATGTTTTCAGTGTGCAGAGAGTCCTGACAATGGAAGCCCCCCCCCCCTCGGCTCCAATAAACCTCCCGCCCCAGAGAGGCCAAGACTTGTCATCACCCCCACCCCAAGCCGAAGCATCAGTAAGATTTACGAGCACTGTCCCAAAGGCCGGCGTGTCCCGGCTGCATGGAGAACCCCCAGCTCCCGTGGGGGGGGGGTAGCTAGCAAGCATCTCCTGCTTATGATTCATTTCAGGGACTGAGGCTTGTTTTCAAACTCTGTCTAACAAGCCCTAGATTGGCGCCCTTGGAATTCATCAAAAAAAAAAAAACCCTCCCCCCCGTCCCAGGCATACATGGATTAGGGGAGCCAGGCTTATAAATGCCCTGTCAATATAAGCTGCAGAATTTAAATGTGTTTACATTCTGTTTAAGTTATTTAACCTCCAGTGGGATCCCATAAAGCACATCACACTTTATAAACTGTGGGACGCGACCCTATAAATACGTCCCTGTCACTCTGTGTTCCAGCCGCACGTCTGTTACACTCTTTCTAGATCCTATCCTGAAATGTTTTAATAAGAAAGTACTAGAAAATAAGGCCTTTTGGTGAGTTTGGGCATGAAAATGCTAAGCTACTGATTTTATTACATAGACTAACAAGGCAGGATCATGTACTAATAACCGCCTGCCGCCAGGAGCCTAAGCGCCTTCCCAGCGTCAGTCGGCTTCTCTGTTCCTCTTTGCTGGGCCTCAGGGGTTGCATGCAGACATACAGCTTGAGAGGTGGCCCCTTTTAGCAGGGATTCGGCACATGCAAGGCATTATGGGAAGCCTTGGCCCCGGGAGGACATGAACAGGACATGAACCCACAACCTCCTGGACCCAGACCCAGGTCCCAAAACCCGCTGAACAACTTAGGATGGGGTGCGGCAGTGTGGCCCTGGGTTTAGAAGACGTTTCCTTCCCCGTAGTGCCAGAGTCTCAAATCAGGGCGCCTGCCTTTGCTATTAAGGCAGGACTGAAAATACCGCGGGATTTCTCAGTATAGCAACGGCCTGAGATCTGGGCCCAGCCTGTGGAGCTGTCGCCGCCAGGGGCCGGCGCTGAGATTTATGGTTTGGTTAGAAGGCAGGCCACTGGCGGCCTGCATTCGCCCAGTGTGGATGGGTGTGCTCACAGTACCATCGATGGCATTGAGAAGGAGGGGGCGGGGGTACAGAGAGGGGACCCAAGAGCATCACAAGGCAACCCTCCAGAATGGTCCTATCTGGGCCCCAGCCCAGTGTGAGGTCAGCATTACCCCAGAGACACCGGCTTCAGGGTCCATTTGCTTTGGCTGAACTCTCCGTATCCCTCCTCTGACCACGGTGATCATAAGCGAACGGCCGGGGGGGTTTGCAGAGACGTCGTCTGCTGCCTGTGCCGTGTGTGAGGCGCCCGGGGGTCACGGCCAGGGCTATGCTGGCCCCGCCCTGCCCCCACCCTCGGCATGGCTTTCCCATCAGCCTCTGTCTGGTATTTGTTGGCCTGCACTTGCCCATCGCCAGGGCCTTCTTGCTGGCTTGGAGACGAGGCCA